ACTTCTCTCTCAGATTAATTTTTAGCTGGTACTTGGCCACCCTAATAAAGACATGCTGTCCAATTTCCCTTGCAGGTGTGTACAGACATGTGACCAAGTTCTGGCCAATGGGATGTGACCAGAAGTAATCTATGCAACTCTCCTTCCTTTCTCCCATAGAGGCTAGTAGGAAATAAGGATCTACAAGAAGAGTTAGTACAAAATAATTTTCTGAAACAGGAAGAAAAAACTGTCACAGATCTACATGCAGTGAATGGTAATCTTGAAGAAAGTTACAAAATGGCCCACTTGTCTTTAAGTTTAATTCAAAGTACTTTAAAAAATAAGGAAAATGAAAATAAAGGTATTACTCTTAGCAGTAAAATTCTTTAAGCCAGATCTTCCAACTGTGCCACAAACAATTGTTTTCCAGTAGTGACTTTACTCTTCCCGATACCACACAAGATTGCACCCTTGCCCTGCGGTTCTGACTCCAGACTGAACTTTCAGATTTCACCAAGCACCTCACAGTAGAACAAGTTTACTGCTAGTGACAGGGTGGGAAACGAATTGATGAGAGAAGAGGGAGGGAGCTGTATATAAAATCAACTCCAGAGATACTCTTCAAACCAGCCCAAAGCTCCCAAGATGATTCTGAGACAGCCTTCCAGTTGAGAACCGAGAGCCGAGGTTTTCCAAAGCAAGGCTTAGTTCTAAGATACTAGGCTGTGGACAGGATTCAAATTGAGACCGTGTTGTGAGGAAAAATCTCAAACAAGATCACAATAGTTGTGCACTGAGCACACACTCGCAAGATCTCAAGTGCAGAAAGGATTGTTAAACTTGTCCTGCACGTATATACATCCCTTATGGAACAGTGTTTGGCCCAGGGTGGCCATGGACCTCCTGCTAGACAATGATGGCAGGTGCCTGATAAAATACATATTCCTGAACCTCATCTCAGATCACTGAACTTGAACCTGTGGGGAAAGGGAGGGAGGGAGACCCGGGAACTGGCATTTTAAACATTTAAATCAGTTTGAGAACGATTGCCATATAAAATTCTGGACACTCAATCTGCAAAATGAAATGAAATATCTATAGTCTTACCTAACTCAGGGAATTAACAATCTAGCTGGCCAAAATACCTTCCCTAAAGAAACCCTATTGCATTAAAGAGAGAAAAATGAGGTTTACTCTAAATGCCCCCTGGGGTGAAGAATAAGATAGGGAGGTTTCAGTGGGTAATGCACGATTCAAAAGTCAGGTGCTTAGATGATGAAGGGATCTTCAACGTTAATCTAATAACCGGATCAAAGATGCCAAATGATTTTCTTCTAATAATCAAATCTGTATTCAGCTTCTACCCTATGAGGATAAACACACGATAGCTTTAGAGTATAAACCACATGTCCCTTGTACATGAGCATGCAACAGAGGTTCCAAGAACTGATATTCATGACTGCTAACCCATTAAAACCACCAGCAATATGGTTCTAAGTTTAAAAAGAGTTTTAAACCCTAAAATTAAAAATAACAGTCTAGCTAGGTCGAGGAGACAAATACGTAATAAATATTAATACCAGGCTGCTGTCCAAGACCGTCAACTAACTGCCCTCTTCTCCCAGGCAGCACAGTCTTGGCCCCCACGCCTGCTCACACTAAAGCCTCACAGATGGCCCTGGAAATGTATCCTTGGGTCAACTCCAGGAGCTGGCGGCTTTTGGAATTTAACTTTTCCCACAGCCCCGCCTCCGCAAAGAGCTAGGTCCCTACGTGTTCACAACCAGAGAACAGAAAAGACAATTACTTCCAAAACCAGGTCCGAACTAGCAAGATCCGAGGCCATCCAGGCGTATAAATCAAGGGTCCCCAACTCTGTGGCTGGAAGGGGGGGAGACCCGACGTTGACAACACCCACGCCCGCCTAGCCGTGCGGGTCTCCCCTCCTCTTCCTCCCCAAGGCCGCGCACGCACAGGCCGGCCCCCAATCCCCGGCCCCGACGACCCCCCGGCAGCGCCGCACGGCGCGCTGGGCAGGAAGGCTGCCGCGTCCCAGCCCCCACCCCACCGCCCGGACCCCGTCCCAGACCTGGGGGGCGCGCCAGGCTGCCCCGGGGCTCCCGGCCCTCGGGCTTCCTTGGCCGGTAGCCGTAGACGCCGCGCTCGGTCTGGTAGCCGCGCCAGAGCATGAGACGGGGAGCCCGGCCGAGCCCGCGTCGTGCTGCTGTCACCGTGGCCGAGGCCATGTCCGCTGTGGCCCCCGGGCCCCGAGACAGAGGCGGGAGGACTGGAGGCAGCAACCGCCGCGGAGAGCTCCGGGGTTCGGCCGGGAACAGGGCGATCCCCAGCGCGCCACGAGAGAAGGCGGAGCCCCGCCCCTGGACGACGCCCCGCGTCTGATTGGCCGAGGGGCCGGTTCCCGGGAGCCAATCCGGGCAGCGGCCCTGCGGCGAAGCCACGCCCCACATTGGGGCGGGACTCGAGGGCGGTCCCACGGGCCGAGCGGCCCGGGCTTTGGGCAACGCGGGACGTGAGGGGAACGCGGGACGTGAGGACCCCGCGGAGCGTTATCCGCTTTCTCATAAAAAACTGGATATAGCTGTGGAGTCCACAGTTTCCCGCCATGAGTGTTCGCCTATCACCCCTTTGCTGGAAGCCTCAGAACCCGACCACACAGACCCAGTCTAGGACTGAGACCGAGGGACGCAGAAAGGAAAGGTAATTGCGGGGAGCTGGAAAATCAAGCTCCCCGCTTTTTTTCTTAAGAAACATTGAGAGGGAAAGAAGCAGCTAGGGGAGGGAGCATGGAAGAAAGGGTTAGAATAGAAGTCAAAAGAAATTGGACATGGACGATTACAGCAGTGGAGAGAGATTCGAGATATTTGAGATTCTCGGTTGGTCTATCTCTGACTGAGTTTCCCAAATGATTTTATTCCATGACTTACCTTTACCTTTGCCAGTATGGACAGAAGGGGGTGGGGGCAGGGTCTGCCTTCTTCCCCGGGCTGTCATCCTTCATTCCAGCCAGTTGTGCAGCTATATCCCAAACTCCTAAGAGTGTCATACATACCAGCCCAAGGTATCCCCCTTCCTCATTCGTGCAACCGATATTCCCACAGAACACTCTGCTAGGTTACAAAGGTTAACGAGATACAGTGTCTGCCCTTAGTTCCCAGCCTAGCTTAGACTGAACCCTACGCACAGTGATAGCTGCTGTGGCGCGGCCACTTGCAAGTGCCAAGCACAGAGGAGTAATGAAACCGCCCTTTGTAAAATTAATAAAGGGCCACGAGGTGGGACGTGTGGTAGGGGAAATGTCTACATAGCCACTGTTCCCTAGCTTGCTTTCCTGTAATTGTTTACTACTCAGGCGTCTTATAACTGTGTTCATAAAGATTGATCCTTAGCTTTCTTCATCGCTCCCATAGATAACATCCCCTTGTAAAACCTAAGGCTAGTTTCTGAGATAGCTTCCAGGCCCTGTGTTCCGAGGAATGGCTTGACCCACCCAGACCAGTGGCCCTTATCAAGGAACTGACTCAACTGGTCTTGCGACCCCCATCCAAGAACTGACTCAACAAAGAGAGCAGTTTCTGCACCCCTGTGGTTCCGCCTGGAACCCAGCCAATTAGCAGACCCAATTGCCTACCATTTTGCCAGCCAAACTATCTTTAAAAACCACTTCTCCCAAACTCCAAGGGAGACAAATTTGAGAACTTCCTCCTGTCTCCTGGCATGGTGCCTGTGATATTAAACTCTTTCTCTGCTGTAACCCCTGCAGTCTCAGTGTATTGGCTTCCTCTTGAGCAGGGGGCCACCAACCTGGTAAGGCTGTTAACAGCAACATCCAACAGAGACAAGTGTGTCGGGGGAACCTCCAAGCGGAAGGGACACTAGAACAGAATCTAGAGGGAAAAGGAGTTAGGCAAATGTACAAAGAGAAGAGCCTGCCAAGGAGAGGGAAAGGCATGAGCACAGAAGCTGGAGACAGGCTTCAAAGCATGGCACATGATTCCAAAAGACTGGAAAATTGCATGTGAATTAAGAGAAGGCAGCAAAGGGTGGATATGGGATAACTGGCTGATTAAAATAGCTTTGAGTAGAAGGAAGCGGGTAATTACAGGATCAATGTCCCTTGAGATCCCAGAGAAGACATGCTCCACAAGTGAAAAGGTCATCCTTAGGCAGGAGTGAGGACATTTCATACAGTACAAGAGGAGGAAAGGCAGAGAGTTGGGTACATATGCAGGTGGGTTAATAGATTTGATAGTGGGAAGATGAGGAAGTTGTTTTCTGATTCTAACTTTTGGTGAAAAAGCAAGATCAGCAGCTGAAAGAGGGAGTGAGGAGATATGGAAGGAGGTTTGAAAGGGAAGGGAAGGTGTGAAATAAAGGGCTGGGAAAGTGAACTGAGTAGGAACTGTCATGATTTAGGAGATACCAAAGGTCCACTGAGCTTTCAAGACCAGTCAGAATGGTTGTGGTTTTTGTTCCAGATATGTTAACTCCTTTTGTAGGTGCAGAGCAAGCAGGAGTTGAATGTAACCAAGGATGAGGTTTTGCTAAGCAGGTGTGTTGGAGATCTGGGGCAAGGGAATGTTCACATTGAGCCATGGAATGTAGGCTAGATCAGGGGAAGTAGAAGGGAGGTTTCCATTGAAAAATTGATAGGGTAAGTGGATCGAAGGTACCAAGGGACAGAGAGTTGTTGAAGTGAGAATAACAGTGTAAGTGAACTGGTTATCAAATAGTGGGATGCTTGAAATTGAGATTTCGTATGGAAGGCAGAAACTGGTACTACAGGGATAGAAACTCTTTTTTTTTTTTTTTTTTTAATTTTTTAGACATGGGCTATCACTCTGTCACCTGGGCTAGAGTGAAGTAGCATCTTGATAGCTCTCTGCAGCCTTGATCTCCTGGACTCAAGCGATTCTTCCACCTCAACCTTCAGGGTAGCTGGGACTATAGGCGCACGCCACCACATCTGGCTACTTTTTTTGTTTTTTCATTTTTTTAGAGACTGGGGTCTTGCTGTGTTGCCCAAGCTGGTCTTGAACTTCTGGCCTCAAGCGATCCTCTTACCCTGGCCTCCCAAGTAGGCCTCCCAAGTTGCTGGGATTACAGAAGTGAGCCACGATGCCCAGCTCAGAAACCCCTTCTTGAAGCCTATGGACCTCAGCTAAGCGCCACTGACTCAGATTGGCAAAGTTCAAAATGTTTCCAAAGGTTTGATAGGTCGTTGGTAAAGGTATAGGCAGTAAGTACTCTCATACGTTGTCGTTAGAAATATAAAATGGTACAAAGTCTATAGGGGGCAAATTGTTAATATCTTAGAAAATAATACACATTCCATTTGACCCAGAAGTTCCGCTTCTAGAAATTCATCCAAAGATAGACTTTCACACACAATTTTGTACCTATAAGAATATTCATTGTAGTATTATCTATAATGTTTAAAAAAGATTGTGATTACCTAAATATCTAAAAATAGGGGATTAAATAAATTATAGTCCTTCTCTACAATGGAATACTATAGACCTATAAAAGAGAATCAAGCAGCTCATTATGTATCCAATTGTAACAATTCCTAAGATATATTTTTAAGTGAAAAAAGCAAATGTCAAGAGTAGGGTGCATAGAATGCCTATCTTAGAGAATGAAAGTATATAGAATCTTAGAGAATGAAAGTATATAGTATATATTTAAAACTTCGTAATAAAAACCACTCATTTTTGTGGATACACCAAGGCAATTCTTTTTTTTTTTTGAGACAGAATCTTGCTCTGTCACCCAGACTAGAGTGCCATGGCATCAACCTAGCTTACAGCAACCTCAAACTCCTGGGCTCAAGTGATCCTCCTGCCTCAGCCTCCTGAGTAGCTGGGACTACAGGTATGTGCCACCACGCCTGGCTAATTTTTTCTATTTTTACTTGTCCAGCTAATTTCTTTCTATTTTTAGTAGAGATGGGGGTCTCGATCTCGCTGAGGCTGCTTTCGAACTCCTGACCTCCTCAATGGATCCTCCGACTCCAGCCTCCCAGAGTTCTAGGGTTACAGGAGTGAGCTACCATACCCAGCCAGCAAAAGTCCTTTTGTTTCTAATGTTCTGTAACTCGGTGACTCACATGCCTACCGAACCTGGGAGTGCCGATCACAAAGTAGAAACACAACCTTGTTTACTTCGGTGAAAGCCAATTGATCACATCTTCATCTGACGGGAAGCAGCAGGCATCTATTTATTCAGTTAGTATTTACTGAGTACCTCCTGTGTGCCAGCACCATGCTAAGGGGGTTGGGATGCATCAGCGAAGAAGCCACATGGGGTCCCTGTTTGTAGGAGCTTTCAGTCTCTGAGGGTACAGAGCAGTTAAGTAAATAATCACACAGCAATTAATTACGATTGTAACAGGGCCATGGAAGACAAGTGCAGGACGAAACCGGAGAACTGGGGGATTCCTACTTAGTGTGGGAGATTACGTAAACTGAAACCTTTTAAAAATGAAGTAGGAGTTAGGCAGGCAAATAGAGGTGTCCCAGATAAACAGCTCAGAGGCAAAATCAAGTTCTAACAAGCTGCTGATCCTCTCCCACGGCCTAGTGAAGGAGAGAGTTTATTTTTAAAGTACTATTTTTTTCTCCCACCAGCTTCTCTACTTACCGGATGGTCTTGCTTTCACTTTGCTTCCTCTGACGTCATTTCACCATTGTCACAACAATTATCATGTCCACCTCTCATCTTTAAAAATGATCGTGAATGTGCCTCCTTTGGAAAATGTTCTCCAGATACGTGACCTGTGCCCTCCCCACCCCCTTTCCCTTACTTGCTTTGCTTCTGGAGCAACTGAGTGGCTGTTGATGCCATCAAGGAAAAAACTTGGAAAGCAAAGTTCATTTTTGGACATCACCAGCTGTAAGTATGATATTAAGCAGATTTTTTTTTTTTCTCTTTGAGACAGGGTGTCTTGCTCTGTCACCCAGGCTGGAATGCGGTGGCCCGATCATAGCTCACTGCAACCTTGAATTCTGGCCTCAAGCAATCCTCCTGCCTCAGCCTCCTAAAGTTCTGGGAATACGGGTGTGAGCCACTGAGCTTGACCTTAATCAGATCTTTCAACTGGGTGGCTGGATACACCTGTCTGGAGTTCAGAAGAAAGGCAGTAAGTAGCTAGAAAAATTAATTTGACAGTTTTCAATGGATACAGGTTATTGAGACCCTGAGTACGAATGACAGGGCCTAGACCTGTAATGCTGAGGAACTCAGAAGTTAAAAGGTTGGGATGAGAAGGAGTTGCAGCA